ATCATTAAGCTTTTGATTTGCAAACTAGATAACAGCTAAATCGAACCTCTTCGAGGTTAGACTTAGCATATGGTATAAATTTTAGGCTTAAATAATTTATTAAATTAACCTTTAATTTTTGAAATTAGGTAAGAAATCTTTATAACAACTGGATGTATGAAGCTATTAAAGACTATACTCCATCAGGAAAAATTAAAAGATCATCCTACTCACTCGTAACTAAATGGGTAAAAGAAGGTTAGGATGCTATTGATATCAATATGATTAGGCGGTCATTCAAGTGTTGTGTCGTTTCAAATGCTACAGATGATACAGAGGATGATTTAATTTTTGATTTTGATAGATTAGAAAATAAGGTAAATAGAAAAAATCTCAGAAGGGAAGTTGAAGATGAAAGAAATGAAAATGATACAGAAAACAGTGATGAAAAAGATTCAGATTATAATGAAAGTGAATTAGAAGAAAGTGATAAAAGTGAACCAGAGGATAGTAATGAAAGTGAGTTAGGAGATAGTAATGGAAGTGAATCTGAAGAAAACTATTATAAAGAAAATGAACAATATACCGTATTTCAAGATTGGAGTTAAGCTATAAGTCTTATATGTACTGTTGTGATAATAGAATATTACATAATAAAGTGTTTTATAGTAGAAAAGTTTTTTTACTGAAATGTGTATATTATCGTATAAAATTTGTTTTTATCAGCAAAACACAATTTATTGGTTAAATAAGTAATACATTTATCAATTATCAATTATTGATTAAATTAAGTAACACAAATTTTAATAATAAAGTTAATTTCAACCGTTATTGGTTAAACCAAGTACGGTAATATAAATGATAAAATATTGGTTAAATCTAAAGGTTAAAACTGGTTAATTTTTAACCAGTTAATTAACCGGTTAAGACGTTTATCTTTTTAACCAGTTAAAGATTTTTTAACCGGTTAGATAACTAATGTTAACTCTGGCCGAAATTTAATTTTCGGGCATAATTAAAATTTTTTTGCAATTACAAAATTTGCTAGTTTTGCCCAAATTTATAGTATCAGCCTGAATTAAATTTAACTGGTTAATTAACCGGTTAAAGAAATTTTTAACCAGTTATTAACCGGTTAAGGATTTTTGGGCCAGTTCTAACCTCTAGTTAAATCAAGTATGGTAATATAAATGATAAAATACCTGGGTCTATATCAATTTACCTCATTTAAAAATTGTATTATACCCGAATCTCGATCAAAAAATGTTTTTTTGTCTAATAAAATATTATCATGGGATACATGGAAAAGGAGTTTCTTAAGCAGTGCTATACGGCATATTGCTTATTTGGCTATTTAAATATTCGGCTTTTATTTTATCTAATTTGGTTATTTTAGCTATTTAATTATTATATAATATTTTCTATTTTAGCTATTTTATTATTTTATTTATTATAATAATTTGGATATATAGATATTTGGATATTTAATTATTTGACTGTTTTATTTTATTTAGTTTGATTATTTTAGATATGTTAATTATTATAATTATATTTTCTATTTTAATTAACTATTTTGTTTTTTGATTATTTAGCTATTTGGCTTTTATTTATCTAATTTAATTATTTTGCCTAATTAATTATTATGATTATCTTTCCTATTTTAGTTAACTATTTTGCTTATTAGATTATTTAGATATTCGGCTCTTATTTTATCTAGTTTGATTATTTTGGCTATTTATTATTATGTAAATATTTCCTATTTTAACTATTTAATTATTTTAGATATTTTTTAACAATTGATTATTTTGATCTTTTAGTTAGTTTTCAATTTTATTTATTTAATTTATTCGACAATTTTTCTATTTTAACACTAAAATTATTTTAAATTTTAGATATATTGAATTTTTTAAATTTTCGTTTAAAAAATTCTGATTTTACTAAAAATAAGGATACTGAAAATTTATTATTTACTAAAATTATTGAAAAAAATTTTAATAATGATTTACAAATAGCAAAAAATAAATTTAATATAAGTAAACTTTAAAATTAATTTATTTAATTAAATTTATTTATTATTATAATAAATTTATTTAATAGTAAGATAAAAAATCTTTATTAATTCTTAGCTGGTAAGCTGCTTGTAATAATAATGAGAATGAAATTTCTGCTGGTATTATGGCTTATTATAGTATAAATAATAATAATAATTT